GGATGAAACAGCCAGGGACAGAGCGCGGTGATTCATCGACAGACACCATGCGTCTTGCTTCCAGTTGTGGGCCAGCCCCAGACCAACAAGGGTCCCGCAGTCCCGGGCCAGGGCGGAGAACGGGACTGTGTCCAAGAGGACCCACTCGGCACGGCTGCACCATTTCTTCGCCAAAGCGACAGTCCTTTAAAATAAGCAAAATAAAACCACATGAGAGAGGACGCCTCTCGTCAAAGCATTGATTTATATTCCATCAGTTTAAGATCCTCACCAGAGGAGGTCAATGCCAACCAGCTGCAGGCCAACATTCAGAATCAGAGCACTGAACAGCATTCCTGCGCTGAAGCTGACAAAGAACAACAGGGGGCGCCCTTCTGGCACTCTATGGCCAAGAAAAATCCCCAGAAAGATGCCTGGAGACAATCAGTTCAAATAAGTAAAAAAAAATATGTAACCATAACCTCCGTCAGTGTTTTCAGATTCTTAAAAAAGGAATTCAGATCCTTCTAGGGTTTCTGCACATTTTCCTTGCTTTTACATAATCAATTTTCAAGCATTGTTTATAACATTCATAATAATTTACTAGAATTATTTCCTTTGTTGAATTTTGTAATCAAAAATAAAATGTTGTCGATAACCTCACCACCACAGGTGGCTGAAGAATATGATGGAACTGTCTAAGAATCATCTTCATGAGATTATAATTCAATAACAAAGTGTCTGGAGTCAGAGGCTTCTTCAGAACCTCTGTAATACAGACCGGTACTGGAGATCCTTTGAATGGACATACAAATCAGACCCAGTAAACTGGTTTAAAACTTTTATCTTGGTATCAAAAAGTCAAAACAGCTTTGAAATCCCTATTTCAGAGCTAAAAAAATTGGATTGGATTTATATGTCAGGAAATCAAACACCAAAACAGTCAGAGTTAGCAAAAAAAAAAAAAAAAAGGTTGTGGCAAATCAAGGTTCAAATAAAAACGATTTATTCCACATTCTATTGTCATATATCCTAAACTCATCCAGACTTGGAAATTGATTCAATTTCCACTTTGTTATTGTTAATGAGGCCGGAGTAAGGAAGATGTAAATAATTCAATCTAAATGCCTTTAAATTGTAGGGTTCCTGCAGCATAGGCAGGTGGCATTGCTGTAAATATATCAAGCATGTGTGATAATTCTGTATTCAGACCTGCAGTGATACCAGTAACAACCTGGTGAGGAAAATGAGCAAGGATAAAGATCCTGGATATTCCAACTGCACCCAGAAGCAGCCCATAAATCAGATAGGGAACAGCTGATATCTCCCAACTGTGGACAAAAGACAAGAAAAACAGTTAAAACTTTTGCGCTTACTCTTCCTTTCGAACACACTTTGTTCGTTTTGTTTACCGGTGAGTGCGGGAGTGCAGAAAGGAGCTGAGAGGGGGCACCACAACCCACCAGACTGCAGCAGTCACCATCGAGTGTCCTGACGGACTGCCTGAGAAACGAACACCAAATCTGGAACTCTGAACTCCAAATAAAGGGCGCTGTATACAACTTGGGTGTGTTTAGTTTTTGCCTCACCTGGGCCAGTTTCACAGGTGCATGGAAACTGGGAAATTCTGGGCTTTGTGCTGACAAATAGTTGACATTCCCCCACCCACCAGAATGGCCTTTCTCCAAACAGCACCCTAGGAGAAGTCAAAAGGACAATGAGAACCAGAACTCCATTGGGATTTATGGTTGATCAAGAACAGGCAAGAAACAAAACAACTGGCATATTTTAGTTCAAAAAGAGTTACAAAGCCACTTCTATCTAACTTCTGCATACAAAACTGAATTTTTTTTTAAATTATTATCTCAAGTTTTTGGAGGATTTTTGACTTTCACTTAAATATTTCTTTTCATTCAGTTAAAAAAAAGCTGGAAAACAAAAGCAACTGAAAGCTCTCAGAGTTGCTACAAAAATAATCAAACTAAACCCCACTAAATATTAGCTTGCACAACTATTATTTTAAATGTATTTAGCTGTTGCTTTTATTTCAGCCACTTGGTACTTCTTTTGTTTGTTTGTTTGTTTTTAAAATATTTATTTTGTACCATATCAACAGCTGTTGAAAATGAATTGCAAGGAAAAATGAGTGTGTCTCAACCAAATGCCAATCACAACATGGAGTCGACACTGACGTACGTGCCGTACGTATGTGGCGTTAAGTGTCTTTCAAGAACTCTGGTGGAGTCTGTTCCCATATGTTTATGGTTCCACTACAGCCTGTTCCGCCACGGACAACATATAGAGTAGGAACTGCGGTGTTGTCCCGGAAGCTACAACGTCTACTAAAGTAAAATACAAGAGAATCTCAAATTTTATGTTAACCAAAATGTGGAGACATACGTGAGAGTAGAGAAATAAGTTACGCCGATTGTTGTACAAGACGAAATTCAGATGCTGCATACCCACATATTGCATCTAAACTGCAGCTGTAAACCAAAAACAAAATGTTCTTTTACCCGTTTTCACGGTCTTACCATTTAAGCATCAGGTTTAACCACTCCGTCAGGGCCGAGACCCACAGCACCGCAATTCCCAATCGATTAGACACGAAATAACTTAAAGGGAATACGAACAGAAATCCTACTCGAGGATCTCCGAAGTGAGTGACGGTGAGCCAGAACTGCTCTAGGTTCTTTGTATGCTGCTGCAGATATTCAGCCATCCAAATACCCTTGGTATGCATCGCCTCCATTTCTACGGCGTCTTTTAAAGTATATTAGATCGGTAGAAATAATGACTGAAATTGAAATCCTCGTGTGCTCCAGATGTGTCGTTCTTGCCCGAGCCAGCTTGACTAGCTGTGCGAGCGAACGTGAAGAAACGGCATAAACGTTATGATGATTTGTTCTAATGCGTCAGATTCTTTAACAGTTATATGTTGGCCGGTGCTACTCTTTTGAAAAATACTTTTATGGTCTGGATGTATCCCTTTTGAACACTTGTTAAGTTTGTTTAGATGAAGTGATCACACTGAACGAGATCCCAAAGAGGTGTCTGAATTCCCATGATGAAATCGCGAGGATGCGATGCGGAGAAGCCAGGGTTGTATGGAGAATTAAGAGTTCCAAATTACAATAAATAAAAAATTACTCATAAAATAATTGTTTAAATGTGTCGTGAAATTTGTCATTTGCATGTGTCTCAATTAAATGGGTTGTGTTCATTTTAAAAGCTTGTTAGAAGCATTTCATGATTTTAAAAATGGTTCCTGTTCCTGTGCTGAAACATATTTTACATTAATTTAAACCGTAAACTTTATACAAGAAATAGGACTTTACATTATCTGGGCTGTCTGGGGTTAAATCAGCAAACATATACCAGGTTATTGTGTTTCTGAAGGCAGATTGGAGTTAAATGTATTTGTTTTATTCCAATTCTTCAAATGTTTCCTTTAGTCTAGTGGTGGTGGAAATGTTAAGTTTAATAAGTAATATAACAAATAATATAAGAAATATATTATTAATATTATAATACAATATTATTCATATTATATAAATAATAAGTAAGTTTGCCAACCACCAATAATATCAAAAGTAGGAGAATCCTGGAGTAAATATCCATTTAAAATAAAAACCCATAGCCTGGGGGGGATAAAGCCTGGTGGCCCGCCAGGCTGACAAAACACTGAGAGAAACTCTGACTTCTGTCTATAGCTCTGGTTGTAAGCGGGAATCCTGTCTATATCTAACTAAACAATCAGTTTAGTTAGAAACTAAACATTTTCTAACTAAAAAGTTTAGTTAGAAACTAAGCTTTTCATTTTCTCAGTTATTTTTTTCCCCACAGAAGCTACACCGGGCCTGATGTTCTGATTAGCTGTGGTTGCTTCCTGGAAAAGGGTGTTGGCTGACATGATGTTGTCCCTCTCCTTTTTATTTAAACATGGAAAGTTCTCCTGAGCAGTTGACCTGTTGTTGTGGCTCTGCTCTGCTTTTCAGGAATAAAAATGGAAACTGATCTTAGAGTTTTCATTACCCAGACGAAACATTGGCTAAAACTAAAACAAATATGTTAAGACTCATTTATACTGACCTACATATGGAGAATTAGCGTTCTCTGATATACATTCTGATATACATGTTTATGTTTTTCNTGTTNATAGTCNAGGAAATTCAAGATAGGTGTCTGTGTATATGACAGGAATTTTTAACTTCTGATATTACTGTCTTTAAATAAAGGTACAACCAAGAAATGAATTTTGTGCATAGGCTAGTGAACCTATGCACAAAACAACAGTTTCTCTGTTTTTTCCCCTCACATGTACCATTGTTCAATGTACTGTCCTTGATTAAATAAATTTGAATTGAACTGAACTGAACCCCATTTTGTGTCCACATTGGAAATGAATTACGCATGCGCAAGGCGTGACGTAGCATCGTCATGCGCATGCGCATTACCACAAGGTAGGACAAATGAATGGGTAGCACAGAGAGTCATAAGATGTTATAAAATTACATTACAAAAGAAAATAGTAACGCACAGTGATTTGGCTAAGTAACTTTAATGTGATTACTGGATTTGAAATGGTAACGCGTTAGATTAGTCGTTACTGAAAAAAGTGGTCTATTTTACTGAAAAAGAAAAAAAGTGGAAATGACTGCCGATTGGTGCATGTCGGCTTTTTTTTGAAAGCTTTAAATCATGTTCTTTTTCAAAATGACTTTTTAAGCAAATCTCAGCACTGTTTTAGCTTAACTTTTGACACACGTCAACATAACATTCGACTTAATAAGTACAATGTTATGTTGTAAGTTTAAATATTTTGTTTCTGCTGAAATCGGAAGGGTATTGAATCTGTTTCTCTTTTTTCTATTGTTTTCTTTTGTAAAAGTTGGATAAAGATATTTTGCGTTAACTCTATCATATTTATGCCCCCTTTTCCTCTCCCCTTCCTCCGTAAATCTGACGTACGACGACACGCCCAGATGTCGTCCTCCTACGACACGCCCAGATGTCGTCCTCCTACGACATCACGTTGCCTTACGTAAAGCAAGCGCTCCGGTTTCCTGGCGGAGAAGATGGCGGCTCCTGGACCGGGGGAGTATTTCAGCGTCGGGAGCCATGTCTCTTGCCTCACCTGTTTGGGCCAACAGCTACAGGGAGAAGTGGTCGCGTTTGACTACCAGTCCAAGATGTTAACCTTGAGTATCCTTTGTTTGTTCGGCGCCGCTGACGGCTGGTTGGCTGGCCTGCCTGGCTGCAAGGGCCTGTAGGGTAACCGAAAAGATGTCAAATAGTGATCCGCGCAGGCGTAATTGGTCTTGGCTGAGTTACACATCTTTGTTCGTTTTAGATTATTTTGTACAAACTACCCACCTGTTCTCTTTTTATCTTTTAACGAGTCTATTGTTATTATTTCGTTTTGCTTTTGTGCTAAATAACCTGCCCGGATGTGCATGTGTTTTGAATTCACTCATTGTATTGCCTGCCCTCAACATGGATCACTATCTGGCAGCGAATCCTGGTAAGGCAACATGGCTCTCCACCGATGCTAGTTAGCGGGCTAACTGAGACACAGCACACCCTGTTCTGACAGGTGTCCACGCGTTTATTTCTCTTAGTTACCCACTCCCATCGTCGGGGATGCAAACAGCCATTTTCAGGAGTCCGTTTATGAGTTTCACTGTCCTCCCCTCCATCCACGCTACAGGGAAGCTGCTGCTAACTCGGCTAACATGCTAAGTTTCGGTCAAACCCAGACACTCCCAAACCGCCCTGTAGCTCCAAATCGGTTTTGGGGGATTCTTGGCTCTGTTGGTTTAGTTTTAGTCTTGAGGTGTCACCACAATCTTGGGTTTCTGGGGTGAATTGTGCTACAACTAATCGTGGGAACATCTTGAACTAATCACTACCATGAACCTTAGCCTGTGAACTTGCCTATCTTCATTCCCTCATGAGTCTTGCATGAGAGTTGCTGAGTGAGTCATGAGATTCACTCATATTCTTTTGAAATGCATTTAAATGTGTGTTATTTTGTTGTTGTCGTTTTATTTTTAAATACCGTATTTTATTAATGAGGTTAACGTGAACGTGTCCAGCCTGACAATGAATGAATGAATGAATGAGTTTAGTAGAGGGCGTTTGCCAGTAAACGCTGAGTTGCATCTTCGCTCCTGTTGGAAATACCCTTTCAGTTTCTTCCGTTTATTTATTTTCTCTCGCTTGAATCTTGTTGGTAAAAATATTAGTTGTACTTAGCTGAATTATATATATATATATATATATATATATATATTTAAATGTAAGCACATTAACGAGCTCGTATAAAAGCTGAAAAACTAACCAGGCCCAAGTTTTGGGGCTTTGCAAACATTATTAGTCTGTCTTTATTATTTGAAGATGCCAAATTCTTGTCTCAATTATTTACTTTTATGGTAACAAATGTTAAAATAGCTTCTCATCCTTAATATATCAGTGTGTGCAGTGTTGCAGTAGATATTTGGTTAGCTGTAGAGCTACCCAGTACATTCAACTGCAATTGTTTTTGCCGTATCTGTGTGTTAAATATCCCTGTTCGGAGGATATATTTGTTTCACCATATTATTTACTGTGCCTTGCTTTCAATCTCTGCATGCCAATAATATTAGACTGTCAATTCCCTTGATGCCCTGAGTTCATATATATTTTTCTGACTAAGATGCTGAAGCTCACAGGGAGTTGCGGGGACTTCATAAAAAGAAATTAAAACGTAAGGAAAATGCAACCGATAGCTGGTCGAACCAGTTATTGTAGTTTTAATGATCCAGTTGATCATTAAATCTTCAGCCCCCAATTTGTTCTTCTAAAAACTATCTTGTGCTGAAACGGGTCGTGTTTCGTTTCATCCAGTTCATAGAAATGTGCACCACAGAGTTGGATCACACGCTTCGTGGTGATGCATTTTGCTTTGCACAGGCAGTTTTTCAGGCTTCCATGCCTGAATTGCAGCCACACAGATTAAAGTTGGGCCCATTTATGGACCATGTTGAATCCTGATGGGTTCTGATGACTGTTGGGGCTCTGATTCCCTTCAACGGGTGTCATGTGGCTCCATAAATGAACACTTTGTTCAGTTTTTTAAACATTTTGACTTGTTACAATAAGTGTCTAGAGATTTTTTTTTTCTTTTTGCCATTAATAAGAACCTTGTAGATGCATTTTATCAATAAGCTATATCAGAGAGATTGTGTCAGTGTCTGACACATTCTGCCCGTTTGTGTTCAGTTTAGCTTTCTTTTCCTAAAGTTGATGTTAATATATCAGCTGTGGTTGACAGAAATTGATTCAAATGAAGGAGCTCTATTTATATGCAGCGAATGCAAATATTCCCTGCATATAAATATCCGTCTGCCTTTACGAAGTTCCCAACTCTTTGTGCTATTGCAGCAACTCAAACGGGCTAAATATATTACCGGCATGCAGAGTTTAAATTCCTCTCACCAGAATCAAAATATAGTGCTCTAAACTGTTCTTTCTAAACTGCCCCCTAAAGATTTCATTTTGCACACACCAATACTAAAATATCACCCGTTGTTTATGTTTGGTTTGTAGTTTTGAGCATGTTTCAGGTTTGCTTTGAAGATCATGTTTATAACATTTCCTGAACTGAATAATGCTTTTAGTCGTCACGTGCTGTAACTGGCACGACCTTTCACTGACACTGTGTTAGTCTCGGCGCTCTTCATCACAAGCTTCTCTGTCTCTGTGGTGTTGAAGTTCTTTGTTGCTCTGCTGAGAATTGTAATTTTTTCCCCCCCAAAGTCCTTGCTTTGAAATATTCTGCCTTAACCCGTCTCCCCCTGAAGAATGTGCTTCCTCCAGCGGTAAGCCGAACCTCAACGACGTTATCCTGATCAACTTAGCCTATGTATCTAAGGTGGACATAATACATGACCGTACTGAGACTCCACCTCCTCTAGCATCACTGAATGTTGGCAAGGTAAGGCCATCAGATTGGTAATGGTTTGTGCCTAGATTCTCGCTATGATTTATTAAATGTTTCTTCTGATTTTTAAAGGAACTTGGATCCTTCATTAGAAATGATTTGTACTCAGAAACATGTTCAGGTGTTTTTATCATCAGAAGTGTCCAAACTAATATTCTTTCTGTTTTGAATTTAAAATCTGCTGGTAGAAATCTGTTAGTTAGTTAAAGAAAAAAAGGGAAAGCTTGTCTGAATCGCCTCATCACTGACATCTGAAAGGCTTTAATAGTACTGTTGTATTTTGGTGATTCTTATAAGCATTTAACAACCTTGTTTTCTAACCACCTTCTCACAAATAACTTTAATTTGCAGATGTCGAGTAAATAAATTCAGTACATTTGTTTAAATCACAATAAATGTTCTTTTGGTCTTATCAAACATAGTTCAGCAGGGATTCGGTAGAATTGTCTTGTAGGTGAAGCTGTACAGCTGTCTAAACCTCACTGGTTATGAAAAATCTGATTGATCTCATTGAGAAAGTTCACTTATAGATATGATTTCTCCTTCTGTGATAGCTAAAAGCTTCACATATGTGACTTTAGGAAAATGTTTTTTTTTTTTTTTTTTAATTACCCCACTGTGCGAAAAGCTGCTCCGCACATTCAGTCATTCAAACACATGGAATCATTTCACAAGATGAAAGGAGTTTTAAATGTGCTTTATTTAGAGTCCAGTGCTGTTCCTCTGCTGATTGCTTAACATAAACAAAGTGCAACAACAGTTTTGGAAGTCAAAAAGTTCAAAATTGTTTTGAATAAAGATGCTTCATTTTGATGAGTAGTTTCCTAAATATTAAATGTATCTGGTTAGCAAAACATTAGTCTTTGGATATGGAAAAAACAAAAACAAAAACAAAGTTAAATGTTCTTTTTTTGTAACGTTTCAGTTACAATTTCATTTCCCAACAGTTTCACGCAGTACCTGCATCAGTCTTCAATATATATAGAAATATCGAATTCTGAGTAGAGCTCACTGTATTTCCTCTGTTTTTTGCAGCTTGCCAATCGAGCACGGACAGAAAAGGAAGACAAGTTGTCCCAAGCCTATGCAATCAGTGCTGGGGTTTCTGTGGAGGGCCAGCAGCTATTCCAGACTATTCACAAAACGTAAGGACTTCCTGCTGTTGCTCAGTGAATGGTAACCTGATCAGATTATCAATTAAAATCAGTTCATACTGGCTGACCAGAAAAAGACACCCATTTCTTGCAAAAGAAGGCATTTTAATGGAAAGTCTATGTTCAAAGTAAATAAGAGATTTCAATAAATAAACCAGACAATCTATTTGTCTTGTTTTTTCAATAACATATACCGTACCTTTTTTTTTTAAACCAGATCAACAAAAAAGCAAATAGTCAGTAATTCACTACCTGTGTATTTAGCATTTTTCATAATTAGTTATATATATATATATATATATTGTACTTATGTTCTGACAGTGGCAAAAGTGCGATAAAATTGGTCATTGTTGCTGTAAAGTAGCAGACAAGGACCATGTCAGCTGAGGTTGTGGAGTTGTAAAAGAGGGACAGCATAATGCCAGTTGGAGTGAGGAGGAGGAGAAAGAGATGGATGAAGAGGGACAGGAGGAGGAGGAGCAGGAACCGCTAATAAAAAGTGAAGTGCCAGGTACATAGGGGTGGGCAATATGGACTTTATCACGATATTTTGTGGCACTGTTTATGATAACGATAAGTGACAAGAACTATTACTACTTTTTTTAGGTAACTGTATGACTGTGACTGCATGGCACAGCAATCGTAGCCCCTCAAGCACAAATATTTCTCTTGAAAAATTTACCAAAGTGTAATGTGCTTTTTTAAGACACATAGAACTGCACACAGTAACTACATTTAATCATATTTCAAAATTTGATATTTGTTAATGCTCTCATTTATCAAACAGTGGAGATGAAACTAACAACCCCAACGAAGCGGACAGTTTTGGGAGTGTTTAAATGGAATTTATGGTGACAACGGATAAATCAAAATCCTTATAAAAAAATTTCTCACCCCAAATGATAAACTGTATAATAAATGCCCACCCCTACAGGTTCAGGCATTTCCTCAGGATTCTTTAAACCTCCTAAGATCTAAATATTTTGATCCAAACCTTGGCTTTTGACATGTTCAAACAGTCTAAAAAAATTATCAATTTCCCTTCAAATGTTTTTAATTCTTTCTCCTGCTGACAGATCTGTAAATTAATATTAATTTACAGGACTGAGGGGAGGGCTCATGATGTAGTAGTAGGTTTGTTTTTTGTTCCCCAATATTTGCTTTGATTTTTTTTTTCTTTCATGATCTGCTTGTTTAATAAACTTCTGTATCAAGTTTGGCATGTCAGTAATACTGGCAACCCTATAATATATGCATCCACCACTTGGTTATGACTCATTTTGCTTGAAACCCAGTTGGTTTGAATGGTGACCTTCAGCTTGTCTTCATTTTTGGGTCTGGAGTCTCATCGTCTCGATTTTCAGGGTTGTTTCCCAACCCTGGTCCTCAAGGCACACTGCCCTGCATGTTTCAGGTGTTTCCTTGCTTCAGGCTGGGTGATTTCAATTAACAAGTGTTTGTGGAACTGCAATCAGCTAAATGAGTCACATTAAAGCAGGGAAACATCTAAAACATGCAGGGCAGTGTGCCTTGAGAACCAGGGTTGGGGAAACAGTGCTCTACGGGGTTTATCTCTGAGTTTGATGCCATGGTTAATCAGGCTTGGCTGCTTCTGGCAAGACAGGCATGTGCCGAGCCCTGCTCGTCTTCAGAAGAAAGAACGTTGGATTGCTCAAACTTCCTTGTCGATGGTGGCACTGACTAGGAATAATAAAAAATAAAAATAAAACGCAGTAGTGCGATGGCATTTATTGACGTGGCTCCACAAACCGAAATTCAGTTTTCATTTCCGTTCATTTATCTAGCCATCATCACAAAGTGAAGAGACTTCACTCAGGACCACAACAAACAACTTAAAATTAGAGCCTCTCCTCTCTTTCCCCAAGCCCCTAAACTTCAAATAAGATGCAAACTCCACTTTCATCTGAAAAGATGATTTTAGACGACCGGGTCTTGTCGTTAGGCCAGGTTTAGATGCTTCTGATGTTGCCTGTGGTCCAGGAGGGGCTTAACTCCACGAATGCGATGTCTGTGGCCCCTGTCCTGGATAAGTGAAGGTGGTTCTTGAATCCCTTTGTGTGTTTCTAAAATCTTTCACTGCCGTTGATGCCCACACTTGAGTGAGCTGCTAAAACTCACTGGAAGGTGTGGGAACATCATGCTGACAAAAAAAGCAAAGGAAGTGGGTCAGCTATCATTGTGACCGTCGTATTCATGTTGCAATTTCTTGTATTTCATTGTGAATTTAAATGTTTTTTTTTTTTTTTTAAAAAAACATGGACTAGTGAAAAATAATAATAATGTTTCTTTGCAGCATCAAAGAGTGTAAATGGCAGGAGAAGAACATTATTGTGATGGACGACGTTGTAATCTCGCCGCCTTATCAGGTTGAGAACTGCAGAGGCAAAGAGGGAAGCGCTTTAAGTCACGTACGCAAAATAGTAAGTATGACTTGGAACCACGCAGTACGCCGCGAATAGGGACGTAATGAAAGTGATCTGGTATTTACCAGCTGCTGCAGTTGCAAACAAACCCAGCTGATGCTACAGTTATTATTCGAAACAGACGAAGAGAAAATGTGTATGTGCGAGGATAGAGTACTCCATATTTAGTGGCTCGCAGAGCCACCTTTAGCAGTCAAATAACTTGGAGTAGTTTGTTCAGCCCGACTATCAGTTTCACATCACTGTGGGAAAATGTAAGCCCACTCATCACAACACTGTTTTCAGATTGTTTAGGTTTGCAGAGATTAATTTCTGTATGGCTCTCCTAATGTCCCACAATTATTTTACATACTGAGGCATGTAGAGTCTGAAATGCACTTAAAGCTTTGATTAGATATTGATCAATGTTGGCAGTTAAACACATTGGTCGCAATAGATTTCCTTCCCTAACCTAAAAACTTTCTGGTAGCTAAGAGTACGTGAAGCTGAAGTTCACATTTTATTGAAGTTGAAGTTGAACCTCAATCCAATAACTCCATTAGTGGCGATAAATATTAGCACTTCAGCCCATGTTAGAAACAGACGAGGCATTTATCTCGCAAACAGATCAAATTGTAACCATCCATCCGTTTTTATTTATTTTTTATTTTTTTGTGGTAGTTGTATTTAAAGGATTAATTACACATTGACTCAAAGAGATCTTCAGGGGGGAAAAAAGTGTGGGATTTGTTTGTCTGTATCCCTGCAGTCCCCCGTTTTGTTTTGTTGCAGAAAGCAGAATATTGCCAGTGTTCTCAGAAACCTCAGCGGTGGCGTAACTGACAGATGTTTCCCTGATTAAATCTGTTTTTAGTCTATTTTTTTTTTTGCACACTCAACAGGGCAGAGTGCAGAAGAAAACAGCTTTAAAATTCATTCATGAAGCAGACAAGTCTGAGCTGAGCTACCAGTCTGACTGCAATGCAACATGTTTGGAGTTAGTGACTGGAAAACGTGCAGTGAATAGGAATCTGATCAGGGAGAGCCGAGACCTTCTGTGTTAGAAATGCATCCATTTGCACAGTTATTGTCGTCGCAGCGCTGTTGTGCTAAGCTAATTGGGTTTACTGTTTGCTTGCTTCTCCTATTATTCCAACCTTAGGACATTTTGGGTTATTTTCATAGATCATAGTACTTTTATTTTCTAACAATACTACTTACACCGGCAGATTTTTACTTTTACCTTTTGTGTGTGTGTGTAGTTTTACTCAAAATGACAACGAATCTTGAAGCATCTCCTTGACCGAACTTTTCTCTCCCATTTAAATCGAGAATATTTTGTCTTGGCAGTGTTGAAGATTAGATTTAAATTTTTTTTTTTTTTTTTTTTTTTTTTTTTCTCTTCCTCCCCACCCCCGTCGTTGTTGCAGGTTGAGAAACATTTTAGAGACGTGGAAAGTCAGAAGTCCATGCAACGTTCACAAGCACAGCAAACACAGAAGGACTCCACTTTATCTTCTTGAGTTGGCAGTGCGGATCGGCCGGGGGAAGGCGACGCGGGTGATTCTGTTCCCACTGCCAGACAAAGTCGGCATTCCTTGTCCTCAGTCCGAGACCACAAGGAGGAGCGCTGAGGGCCCTGGATCCTGAAGATCAAAATACCATTAAATGAAAAAGACAAAAAAAGAGAGAGAAGAAAGATTAAATCTTAAATTAGACTTTATAAAGAATAATTTAAACATGATCCATAAAGCAAACCATAGTTTCCTTAACTAACTTGTCTCATCCCGCCCCACCTCCCTCCTCCATTCCTTCTCCCTCTTCTCGTCCCCTAAAACCTTTTTTTTTTCTTTTTCTGCCCTCCTCCTTTTGCCTTCAGTTCCATTTCAAAGAAAAAACTAGAGCAGTCAGAAAGGCTTGTTAGCTTTATTTTCTGTCATTGTTTCCTTTTTTTTCTGTATCCATGTTCTACTGTCTGTATTTTCTGTATTTTAAAACAAAATGTGACTTGAAATGCCACACTTTAAAGGACATTTTCTAAAATAAAAGTAACAAAAATTCTGACTGTAATATTGTAATTTTCAACAACTTTTTGAGCAGTTTGTAAAGATTGTGTGTGGGGGCAGAAGGGGGGGTTACATGTTGATGGTACCTGTGAGATATGGATTAGGGTTAAGAGGAAATGAATACAGACTGGAATTGTAGGTGAACATGTTTATAAGCACCATAATTCACTATTCCACAGATGCTCAGGTTATGTCTAACATGTAACTTGCAGTTTAAAAGCACTCAACCGAAATTACTTGCGTTTTATCAGCCTGTGGTAATTCTGTAGGCGAATTCTGGGGTTGGCACTTAAAAGAAAGTTATGATGAGTTTAATAATCCATCTGAAGTTGTGTATAAGAGCTTTTTCTATTTTTTATTGCGTGATAGAATACTGTTAGTCAGTTGGATACACTTGCTTGCATGAATATTGATTCATTTTTTGCAACCTGTTGATTTTAATATTTAGATATGACGGTTAAAAACTGTTGAACAGAAAATA